ATTAATGGAAATTACTCAAAATCATTTCACTTTCAAACGCCAAATTCACGTCATGCCTGCCCGCGACGATCACCTCTTGAATGGGTTTCTATCTTCGGTATATTTTTGTAAATTAAATATTTTTTGCGCCCTGCACGTTGATGTTGCTTTGATTTCGCGAACATTGCTGATTGATGTCATAACAAAAGAAAGTCGGACGAGCAGGGATCATGGATCATGAAGAGGACGGTGGCGATGGTTTGATTGAGTGGACGAGTGCCCAAACGTGCTGCTCTTTATGAATGGACGCCTCCGGTGGGCCGGCTATTTACACTGATTTGAAGATACAACTACGTGCCTCATCGCGATCTTTGGGCAACTGAAATGCGATCGAGTTCGGTCTGCTGCTCGGGTGAAAATAGTTTATTTATTTATTTATGTGCCGACTCTCAGGTCGAGAAAGTGTAGCGAATGGGTTTGACAAAGTGGTTCATTGTGGGACAACGGAGATTTCTAAATTATGTTCTGTGTCGAATTGGAAAAAAGGTTTCCTATTAGTTTAAGGAATTCGTAGCATATTTTTTAACAAGGGAATACTGCAAGAGCTTAAACTTAATATTTGTATATATTTAAATTTTTTGTGAAAAGTCTGCTTTGATTCGAAAAGGGGTATACATTTTCCTCAGTGCTCCGTTTAATTAGCCCGCCCACCAGCGTGAGAACCGAAAGTGAAAAGCTGTGATCGGGGCGGCGCTGTCCGCTTATCAGAGAACCCACCGCAGATTGCTAATTGAAATGCAGGGGCTGTCGACGCAATTCGCAGCAGATCTCCGGTTGGATCTCGAATGGGATCGTGAGAGCCCTGGTAACCCAAATCGCGTGCTGCCTTTGATTTGTATGTGCACTCGTCAGAAATTATGTGGCAACTGGCGGCAAAGCTGCGAGGCAGCGGTGCAAATTGAACAGTAACAGATGCAACCGCCAGTTACATATTTTGTGTCTGTGCACATAGATATTTGTCGGAAAACTATTTAAATAAAGCACTAGTATGCTGCATGTCGGTATGCTGGGCAACGCAACATTCAAATACAAACCGAACCCGAATATGCACTTGGCTCATTTGTAGGCAGGCCAAGTGGAGTGCTCATGGGTTTCCATATTTTTGGTTTCCTATTTTTGTACATACATACATGTATTGAGCTTGCAACATTCGCACTCAAATTGATGATGATGACGATGATCAAGCTGATGTGCCAATTGCCAAGCATTGCCGAGCTATTGAATGCCTCAGCCGGCCGCACTAAAACGAAGTATGAGCACAAAATTTGGTAATTGTTGCAGCTATTTCGGGCAACCTGGTGGTGGACCCAGGCAGGTGAAAGGCGTCTGCGGCTCACGTGGCCCACTCGCAACTCCCTGTCATTTGGTTTTGAGGATGCTCAGACGCCGCGGTGAAGTGCACTTCAGACTCGGCTAAGAAAGTCAAGGCGGTCGGCTTGTTCGCCGAAAGCCAACGCACACAGCGCAGTTTACTGAGAAAAATTATCTGAATAAATCTTGGAAAACAAATAATAGGAAGAAATCCGTCCCTTATCAAGATTTATCAGTTTGCATGATGTTTGATGTGGCATGAGTTAATTTGGCTATGATAAAATATGGACGTAGTCTTCGAACCTTCAATGCTTAATTACTTACAAGTCAAACAGCACTTTGATCCAATTTATGCAACATTTTTCTCTGCGTGCAATATTACTGTCAGACGCAAAAGTTGTTTTCATTTGATTTATGCACAATCAATGGCAGGCTGCAGCCAGTTTTGCATCGAGCGTTTTCGTTTTCGGTCAATAAGCATTGGCATTGAATTTGTCGCTGGCTTCGTCGAGCTGAGTGGCTTAGCCAGTGCAATTTGTTTGCAATTAGCCGCGAGTTGGCCACGTATAAATCCGCAAGGGGCGGCCGCCCAATTAATAAGCTGTTAAAAGAGTCAGATTGCCGGCTTCGGTTATCAGTCAGTTGATGCAGAGATCAAAGCCGAATTTATTTGGTTTTTCGACTCGCTGGCCAGCTGCAGTTCGCTTACATTCTAATCCAGAGCTGCAGTCCATAAAATGCACGTTAGCCGTGTCCGATGCTATCGCGATTGCGTGCCGTTCGGGTGATATATCAAAACCCTTCACATGCCAAAATGTTGCACAGAAAAAATGAAAACTGTAGGTCCAATAATAACAAAATTACGCCTTGTGATACATTTACATATAATATTATAAAATATATATGTATATTTTAGCCAATTAGAACTCTGTCTACTGAACCCCAAATCTTTGGAATAGTTTTCTAAGAGACTTCCCATTTATGGCTCAATTTTTCCCCGTGTAGCTATGCGAGCCCAAATAGATTTTCTCGCAGCGATAGGATCGCGAACGTTTTGTGGGTCAGAGAGCGAATTAAGGCAGCTATGGCCCGCTTATCGTTCCGTGTACTGTGTGCCATCGAATCTGCATTGCCAATTTATGGTACAATAAAATATAGGGGTCGACACTAATGCCACATAAATGTGCGTCATGTTGCAATTGCTCTGCCGTTAATCAAGTACGCGCCATGTGTGCCCATCGATTCGATAAGTTTCGCACAGTTTTTTCCCAGCTGCCTGCGAAATGCCAGGCGGATGTGAAGACATTGGACATTAACGCTACCTGTCTGGCCAGAATCAATTAGGCAATTGGCCAGAGCACAGCGTTGAGCAAAGCTAAGTGCAACAATTAAAACAGCATGCTCTGGCATTAGCAGTCTGGCCCAGAAACGAGATCCACTCAGCATGGGCTAAGAGAGTGGCTAAAAGTGCAATAGTACACAACCACGATATTTGCACACCGTCATTTATCGGCACTCGGGCTCGTGGCGATTGAGTGGCTTTAACTTGGATCTATTTAAATGCGGTTGCTTTATAGGTTGTAATAAGTCAAATGATAAATGATCTCTAATGAGCGGTTTGGAGTTGAAGACTTGGTGCTCTTAAAAATAACAAAAATATAAGAAAATAGATATTACAATCTTCTGGACAATTATGCAATAATGCTTAAAATGCTTTGGCAGCTGTGTACATGTAGCTATTATCATAACCATATCATAACCACAAATGCATCGAAATTCAAATTGTACTTAGTAGTACTACTCTGAGTCATAACTCTCATATTAAATTCCACTCAGTTATCGCAATGTCATGTATATCATCTGAGTTATATGGTGTGAAGTTAAAGCAGAGACCTTCCCACCAACCTCTATTGCCATGTTAAAAACTCTATCATCACACTTTTGAAAAATGTATAGCTGCAGTATGCTAACTTTCATATTTCCACCTCACCACACCTAATCAACACCAACACAAATGACTATCGCCACATATCAAAACAAGTAGACAACTTTAAGATAAGCTTAAGAGATCTTTTCGGACGTCTGTCATATTTTATTTCAAAATACTTTATCACTTTCAATGAAAACGCAGCGTCGGTAAATTATAAATTTCTCTGCGCATTACAAAAGTCATTTCCACACATTTTCATGACACCAAATACTAAGTAAGACGGGGCTATTTACATACGAGCCAAAGCCCAACAATACGAGTGATGTGGCAAGCTGCAGACAAAGAAAGATCTGAACAAAAGTCCTATGCTCTTGGCACGCCCCTTTTCGGGGGCTCAAAGTGGGCCATGCTCCCAGCAGCCAGCTTAAGATGACATAAGTGGCATCAGATACCATTGGCAGAGCTATCCACATACAAAGCCAAACAATGCACGTGGCAATTAACGTAGATCTGCCTGTGGAAAAACATATTATTAGCAAATGTCAACTATTGGATGCGCTTTATGCTCAATATATGCACAGATATGGCAGGGATCGTCCTATATGGCGACTATAATTGGCAACTGCGCCCGTTCTTCGTTAGCGCTATACACACTTTTCGTGAGTATTTTTATTTTTTTTAATTTGTGTTCTACTTTTTGCATAATTTCGGTTTAAGACCATGCACCATACGATAAAGCGGTCAAATTTCCCGGCATATGTGGGTCATCCGAAAGAAAAGAGGTGGTGCGGCCAAGTGCCTTAGATAAGCCAGTGGTGCGATTTATGTAAAAGTCGTTTGGCCAGCCATCGACGAACCGAAATTAATTGACTCTTGCGGGCAGGTGTAAAGATTGCATATGCATGCGAGTGTGCATAAATTGCAGATACGTACATATACCTGTTGTGTGGATATTGCCCGGTTGGCAGGTTGGCCAGAAGGACGTTGCGTGCTGGCCTTTCACAAAAGCTGTCGCCCCAAAGGCGAGCAACAATTAATTGACTTTACGCAGTGGCCTGCAACTCTGATCTGCATCTGGGGTCCGGCAATTAAATCTGCAAAAAGCCCACTGCCCCCTTGTGGCACGCGTTTTTGCTCGGGCGTGGCACGCTGTCGGCCCAATAAAAAACACCATCTGTGTGGGCGAGTGCGTTTTGTTTGCATTCTAATTGCCCTGTCATGATGGCTAATGAACTAGGCACTCCGTATGCGATCATAAGCACGAAGTATTTTAGGGCAGCCTTGAACCAAATTCACTCTAGTGCGAAAACCGAAATGAAAGCAACTCGCTGGTAACCAGATTTAATATTCATTTAACTCAGTTAAAGCGAGGAGCGTAAAGAGTTGCAAATCGTGTTAGCCGTAAACCCAAAATTATGACCGCACATTGGCCAAGAGTCAGCAAGTCTTCTGTTGACTTATTGAGCCAGTGATTAATCAAAGTCGAATGTTGTATAAGCGGATAAAATTAAGGTTTATTCCATGCAAAGAGGTCTGCAAGGGACTTCAATGTTAGGTCAATCTACGCAACCTATCACACTCATGACTAAATCGAATCCATTTAACTTACGCAAGTGTGCTTCAGATACATACATTATATCCTCACACTTTTATAAAGAAGAGCTAGAAATTAGCCTGATAAAAATAATAAAAGTAGGCTTCTAAATAAGCGAAGGTTAAAGCTTTATTGTATACACAGACGTCTTTGAGATTATACCACTAGGAGGATTTTCGCAGCTCATCGCAATCCCGAGTTTCAGTTCTGCACTTACGTCTCTCATCGACGATGACCCAATCTATAGTTAAGTTTGGTATAGTTTGTTTGTTATATTGAAATTTAGGAAAAAACTTACTTCGATTCGTCTTGCATCTTTGGTTATCAAGGACGCATTTAGTGGAGAAAGTGCACCGACTGATTATGGGACGTATAATACCCCTACGCCATTCGGCGCACACTGGTCTATACTCCCTTGTGCAAGCACGAGGACATCTCTCCGGATCTGAATTGGCCTCAGCCAAGGCCAGAAATCCCAAGGAAATGACCAACAGTGCAGCCACAATCTTCATGTTGTAATAAGTTCTCTGGGGTTTCGAATGATTTTAAAACGTACAGAGTAACCTTTTTATAAGCGAGAACGACACTTTGGAGCTATTATTTAAAAAACAGATGTTTACTTTACTATAATAAGCTATCTGCTATATTACTATATATATGCTATATTTTACTATAATATATAAGCAGGTGAACGGAGTTCAGTGAACCCTTGTAATGGGATACACTTAAAAGGCATCTCACTTGACTTGGTCAGCGAAAAGAAAAGAAACTGTCAAACGAAAAGTGAAAGGACTTAAGTGCGTTGTTGTTTCCCTTGGCGATTGTATAAGCAACACCGATTGCAGGGGAACTATGTGCCCTTCATTATAATGAAACCCTTGATAGCAAGTGGATAGCAAAGTACTTTCACTATTGACTGCTGAGTGTAAAGTCGTCATTTTGCCATTTTACAGTGCTTTTCTCATTGAAGAAAATTTTAACTTCATACGTGAAATCCATCTAGTGTGCTAAAACGTAAATTCTAATTTTGTGAACCCTCGGAACTACAAAACATTGGGCTTAATTGAAAATCCATCAAGTATTTATTTCGAATTAAATATATGTATGTTGCTATACTTACTACATTTGCTTGGGAATATCATCTGCGGCTTACATAAAACATTTCACAATCTTTATTGAGCATCACTTAATTAATTCTAAGGCTGTTAATCGAGTTAGTTAGCTGTTTGCAATAAGCAAGGTAATTAATTGTTTTCAAATTTTCAATTAATTCCAGTTCCTTCGCTGCCAACTGCCAGCTAAAGGGTATTTGAGGCGAACCTCGTTTTCGATTACATAAAAAAGGGGCATGGCACCCCAATACCTTACTTTCACTGTTAGCCGAAGGCGGGTGCAACAATGGCAATCAATATCAGTACTTATCAAAAGCCGTTAACAATTGTCCGAAAATATGGGGTTTTTGTTTTTGGCTTTCGCTTTGTGCGCGGCGACAAAAGCTAACAAGCGATTAACACGCGCTGCAAGTCATAAATCAGATCGCATTAAAGCCGCGGAATAAAAGCAAGGTTGCCAGTTGTCAGATGTTGAATTCCCCAACCGCCCCATTTTGCCGACAGATACAGAAACGCCCGAAACAATGGGGAGCTCAAAAAGCAGCATGCTACTGGGCATATGGATCGACCGACAGCTGCAACTTATAGTTGCAATCAAAGGAGTTGCATTTGCATATAGAAAAGTGCATCTGTAGACCGGAATATATTATGTAAAAGTATGCCATGAGCTCTATTACTTTGATGATTTAATATTACCATACCAGTACTAAAATATCAACGCAGCTTTAAATTGCTGTTTATAGTGAATATTTTAAAAATATTTTCCAACTTGCAATAAGGCGGCTTTTTTCTCAGTGCTTAGGTCTTACTTTTCCTAGTAGCTGACTGACTGATTAATGCCTTTGGCCGCAGGCGTGTTGCCATTTGTCAAAGGGGCGTGATCTTGCCCGCATGTTTGCCTGCATAACGTGTTAATTTACCTACTTTTGTCTACGTTTGTTTGCAGAATACTTCTACTGTCTCTGGCGGCGGTGGCGCAGGCGCAGTACCATCAGTTTGGTGAGCAGCTCCAGACGGCCCACGGATCCGACTGCGCACTTCTGTTGGCCGGACCCGGTCGCTCCTCCGTCTACGACTACAATGTGAATCTATTCCGCGGCACTTTGTGAGTACAAATAGAAACTGGGTGCCATGTCTGCTGTTGCAGAAAAAGTGGCTTGGTGGCATTCTGGGTTATGTTTGGGGCTCAAATATTTGAACGTTGACACCGAAACGTTGTGCAAAGAATAAAAGGCTGACAGACTGAAGTCATAATTTCAGACCAATTGGTATAATCCTGATAAACTTATTACACAACATTTAAGTGATAAAATGTTAAGCTAACAATGAGTAGCAAAGACCTGAAAAGTTGCATTTCATTTTGGAATTCGGTACTACACCCCCTTTCGTGGCAATTTGTTCGCAGTGTACAACTGCCCGACTGACACCCATAAATCTTGGCTTCTGCTGTTTCAGCTTGTTTGAGCGGTGGAAACATGGCTCTACACCTACGACAACACGGCACACGAGCTTTGAGCCAATCATTAGTAGCACAAACAGCAGTGGCAATCATTTGGCAACCAGCTTTTGACGTTGACGTCTGCAAGCTGCAATGCCTAGGGATAGATATTCCCATACTATCCTAGCAAATATATATATTTCTTGGTAGGAGGCCCGCTGAGCGAACTGATTGCATCTGTTGCCGAGCACGGGTAACTAAGTTGGTGGTAACTCTTGACAGCCGACGTCTTCATTGAATGCGAATTTCCAAGGGATCAATGATTTTGAAAACTGCAATAACTTTATTTCCTCTTCTTATTTATGGATTCTTATTCTTTCTCAAGCACTGGCAGATTCGCCTCCGATTTGGGAGGCAATAACCTTTTCGTTTCCGTGTCTTAGCTTTTCAGACAGTAGGACCTGACTTCCTTGTCGTCCTCAGTTGAAACTCCAGTAAGTGGGAATTACCATAATACCATACCATACCATAATATGTGTTCCGGCAATTTTCCGCGATATATACTTCATGGTGTCAAAAAACATACTAGTGGATAAAACATATGCCTCGGCAAATGGGTTCTCAAGTGTGATGATGGCTTCTTATATTTCACTCGCTGTCACGGCGGCTCGTTAATGGCAATCAGCAAATGGTTTCTGGCCTCGAATCGGCGACGACAGCCTTTTTGGCTTTTCAGAGTCATGCGATGCAGAGGAACGCATCATGAAGTCACCTGACAGACCGGCGCGATTTATTAGTAAACGAAAAAAATCAAAACCGCACGACAAAAAGCCGCAAACAAAAATAGCAAGGCAACAGCGGCAACCCAAAACAAATGGCATTGCAACACTTGCAGATGCCAAAGGAAAAATAAAAGAAAAATACCTAAATAAAATAAAAACACCTGAGCTGCCGTGGGGCTGCAGCAGCCATTGATGGCAAGCTTTTGTATCGAGATGATTTCGAAAAGTGACTTTGAAACGCTGCCAACACATAGAGCCTTCCGAACCGAACTCAGTCTGCACAGGAAGAAAAAGAAATAAATTGTGAGCATGTTGCTATTATTTCTGAAGATTAGTCTTATTACAATTACATTACATTTTTGAACGGTTTAGTTGAACTCATTTTTTCCTTATTTTAGTTACTGAAGATCCTCTAAGTGCAAAATAGGCTATGATTTTTCACTCTGCAGCACTTATGACATCAGATAGATATACATACATATTTTAAATGTCACACGATCCAGATTGAGATTGCAAATTGTCCAATTGTCGATTGTCTTTGAGTGCTGGGGGTCACAGAGAATGAAGCTAATTTTTGGGGTCAATCGGGCCAAGTCGTTATCGGTGACTTTGGCCTGGCTATTGAACCTGGCTGACCAGAGTCAGCAGGGAAAAAAGTCAGAGAAAAAAATTGGTCGCAACAACCTACTTAAAAGTTAAATACAGGTTTTGCCTGGGGCCACTTTCGTTGTGGCCTCTGCTCCGTCTGCTAAAAGTCTGCAATTGTATCTGTATCTGTATCTGCATCTGTCGCATGTTATATAAGCGGATAAAGTTAAGGTTTATTCCATGCAAAGAGGTCGTCAAGGGATTTCAATGTTAGGCCAATCTATGCAACCTATCACAGGCATGACTAAATAAAAGCAGTCTTCTGTCTTCATTGATGACAATGGAATCCCTTAAACTTACTCTTCGGATACACACATTATATCCTCACACTTTAGACTGTACAATCAAAAGTTCTGTGTTTCAAATGATCGTAAAACATCAGAGACCCCATTTTATAAAGAAGAGCAAGAAGCTACACCTGATAAAAATAATACGAATAGGCTTTTAAACGCTTTATTCTAAGCACAGAAGTCTGTGAGATTATACGAGGACTACTAGGACGATTGTCGCAGCTCATCGCAATCCGGAGTGTCAGACCTGCACTTACTTCTCCAATCGACGGTAACCCAATCTATTGTTAAATTTTGTATAGTTTGTGTGTAATATTGAAATTTAAGGACAAAAAACTTACTTTGATGGTTTCTGCATCTTTTGTTATCAACGATGCATTGATTGGTGAAAGTGCACCGACTGATTTTGGGACTTACAGGGGGGCCCCTACGCCATTCGGCGCACACTGGTCTATACGTCCTTAAGCAAGGACGAGGACACTCCTCCGCATCCTGAGCCAAAGCCAGAAATCCCAATGAAATGACCAACAGTGCAGCCACAATCTTCATGTTGTAATAAGTTCTCTGGGTTTTCGAATGATTTTAAAACGTACAGAGTATCAATTTTATAAGCGCTATAGCACTTTAGAGCTATTATTTAAAGAAACAGATGTTTGTTTTACTATAATATAAATGCAAGCAGATGAACGGAGTTCAGTGAACCCTTGTAATGAGATACACTTAAAAGGTATCTCACTTGACTTGGTCAGCGCGCAGATGCCAAAGGAAAAAGAAAAATACCTAAATAAAATAAAAACACCTGAGCTGCCGTGGGGCTGCAGCAGCCATTGATGGCAAACTTTTGTATCAAGATGATTTCGAAAAGTGACTTTGAAACGCTGCCAACACTTAGAGCCTTCCGAGCTGAACTTCAGTCTGAACAGGAAAAAAAAAGAAATAAACTATGAGCACGTTGCTATAATATTTGAAGATTAATCTAATTACAATTACATTACATTTTTGAACGGTTGACATTATTATTTTCTTATTTTAGTTACTGAATATCCTCTAAATACAAAATAGGCTATGATTTTTCACTCTGCAGCACTTATGACATATTTTAAATGTCACACGATCCAGATTGAGATTGCAAATTGTTCAATTGTCGATTGTCTTTGAGTGCTGGGGGTCACAGAGAAGTGAAGCTAATTTTTGGGGTCAATCGGGCCAAGTCGTTATCGGTGACTTTGGCCTGGCTATTGAACCTGGCTGACCAGAGTCAGCTGGGAAAAATGCAAGCAACAGAGAGAAACAAAATTGGTCGCAACAACCTACTTAAAAGTTAAATACAGGTTTTGCCTGGGGCCACTTTCGTTGTGGCCTCTGCTCCGTCTGCTAAAAGTCTGCAATTGTATCTGTATCTGCATCTGCATCTGCATCTGTTTTCTGCATCACTGCCTGCGTAGCGAAGTAGCTCCCCATAGTCTCTAGCGAAATATAACCGAAAAAGATTGTAAAAGGCCGCATAGATAAATGATATTTGAATATTTTTCACAGCGAGTTTACGACACGCTTTTGCAATTATTCACAATATTACGCATACGCCGCGTACACCAGACCGCTGCAACTCAATACCGATCAGGAAGTGCTGGCGTTTGGGGGCTCACAGCGCACCTGCGATCCCCAGCCCGGGACTCATAACATTAGTTTTTACTTTACAATCAGGATAACAAGTACAAGTCGGTGTCTGGGGCGGGACGAGCCGCATCGAAAGGAGTAAACTGGACCCAAAGTGGCTTGCAGCAAGAGACGCAGTGCGTGCCGCATGCAAGTCACTTTCTAGTTGGCCCAAAACTCTGGCTATGCGCACATTGAACTTAACCGGGTCTCGTAAATTTTGTGCGAGAGTGCTCTCAACTGGCTTTTTGGTACAAAATTAACGGCGCACCAGTTAAGTGCCAGACATTGCCATTTTCGATTTCAATTTGACAAATTTGCCCAAGAAATATGCACGAAAGTTGCTGCTTACTCTAGGCGAATGCTAGATGCCCTGCTAAAATATAATAGAAATAAAACGAAATATATTTAACGGAATGTATCAGTTCAGAACAAACTTCAGTGCTCAGATTCCCGCTCCTGAGCTGAATGAAACCCATATAAGTGGACACAAAATCTTTAAAGGAAACTGAAAGGCGGAGGAAAATTACTCAGTGACAGGGTAAAATGGCTGCAAGTTCGTGAAAAATGTGGCTTTTAGCCGAAATGGTTTTGGATTGCGTGAGTTCGCAATGCTGCTGCGGATTTTGTGGGCAGATTTTCGGAATACGCTGCTGCTGCTGCTGCTGCAGTTGCTGCAGTTGCTCCAGCTGTTGTTGTAATTACTTAATACTTACGCATTGTTAACACGCATCGTTGTCGCCTGACACGCGTTTTACATGTCGCACCATTCGAGGAAGTGGCAGTGGCCCCCCAATTTGGTTAGATTTTCCCGAGCTGCTGAGTCGCAGCTGCCCGACATAAGAAATTTGCGTGTTTTTGGAGTTTAATTAACAAACCGGCTGGCAAAAGCAGAGTAATATGGCAATGTTAAAGTTAAGTTTGTTACTGTAACAGTAACAGTTGGCCATATTTTTGTCCGACTCCGAACGGAGATGTTTGGGCAGCCGCTTCCTGTCACGAGGAAAAACTGCATGCAGCCGGCCAACTCTAGTCGTACTCAGCTCCAATGGTCAGACTGATGGCTCCCGGCTGCACAAAGGTCTGGTGGTACCATTTGTTCGTGTCCAACACAACTGGGAAATATGGTTATAAGTAGTGGGTTCACTTTAAACTATTTCGAGTGGCTTCTCACTTATGTCGCCCTGCTGGACCACCACGTCGAATCTCTGGCACTGCAGGTAGCACTCGGGAGGTGGAACCAGTAGCCACCGCTTGCTGCCCGCCAGCTGAGCCTGCCACGATGGCAATCTCACGTTGTCAATCTGCAAACCACGTTTGACATGCATCAGCGAAAACGATATTAAATTACATACTTATATATTTACACAAAATAACATTTTAAGGGGCGTTTCGAAATTAAAGTGTCAGAAAATACATTTAAATCTTATTGTGATGTGGCCTAAAGGGAAATAAATATATTTGATGGCTGTTACATCAGTGTACCCTAGAAAAAAATATAGCCAATTGGTAGTTGTAAAATGGCACTCAGTTTTAAGTTGAGTTAAATCCGGAAAGTTAAATATGGGAAAACTAAAATATTCGAAATAAAACATAATGCCGGCAGTAAGTCCTAATCAAAAAACCCAACTCACTAAACATGCAATTAGCGTTTCAACCATTTCGTCTTATAAAATGTCACCTAAGGGGTAATATTCGGAACTTACATGCATTTGAGCACCCAAGCCGGATGAGCCGATGAAAAACCAGTCGACTGCATTGTTTTCTGAGCCTTCGGGCAGAAAATATGGTCTGCCATAGTGCCTACGGAACTCCTCTGCGGTTTCCGCATGGCAGTTGCTCCAGCCGAAGTACCAGGGCTGTTCGCCAGGTTTCAGCTCCACCCGATCCTCAGGCATGTCCAAAGCGTCATAGATATCAAAAAATCCGGTTGTATATGGCAGGAACTGGCATTCCCTGATGTGCTGCTTTTGCTTGGCCTTGGTATAAACATCGCGAAAATACCAGTAGTTAAATAACTGCAATGTGCATAAACTCCTAATTGAAGGTGGTTTTATAAGACTTCGGAGATATAGTAGTTTACCGAAACTGCAGTCCAATTTTTGGTGGCATCACTAATAATAACAGGCGCTGCACTGTACGCGAATTTTTCCTCAAACTCTTGGGGGCTGAGATTTTGAAGACGCGGCACATTTCTAATATTCGAACAGAAATTACAATTTTCAGGCGGCCGGAAGGCGTAACGCAAGTTGCGTGGCAACGACAGAGCGCAGTTCTAACCGAATATACCGAATTATTAGCTTTTCTCTAACACATTATATTCAAACAACTAAATAACCACTATCATACCTTTCCCTGCATTTGCTCATAGTAGTATTTCACTACTAATAAAATGAGAATGCCCAGTAAAACCATTTTGATCCACTTAATCCATTTTTCGCTTAAAAGGGAACCTTTACCATAATCGGGCAAAAGCTCTTGAAAAGTACTATCCAGATAATTTGGCTCATGGATGTTAAGCAATTGCTCCAGTTTACTGCGCTTCTGCTCCAATTTTCCTTGCTTCATTCTGACGATGCTACTTTGACCAAGTTAACTGGTACACTGAATGAAGAACTTGGCTGTTTCCTTCCGACGCGGCTTTTTAACCCACTGGCCTGGCAATAATTTCATTATCTGCCAGTGCGCAGGCTTCCCAGAAGGACTGGGTGTGGATTGTGTGGTTAGCATGTGATAAGCGACAAATTGCCGTTATTGCCAATCTAAATCACTTTCTCTTCAATTCACTTGCAGAAACCCGTACAACAATGGACCGGGCACTTGCATCACCTACGATGCCATCAATGCGGCCTACTTGGATGCACGCAAGCGCATACGTGAGTAAAGCCTCAATTCAATACAGTACTTACTAAATATAATATAAATACATTTTTTGGAAGTTTCTTTCGTTTTAACAATATATATAAACTTCGTTTTTGGTTAAGACTAATAGTAACAGTATTTTATTAGCTTTTATTAGCACCATGAATATATTTTGAGAATGTATTTAAATTGAAACAAGATAGAATGCTATTGTCGAGTTCCCCGACTATAAGATACCCGTTACTCAGATTGTGCCAGAAACATTTAGATAAATTTGATTAAGATAAGTTGAGTTATGGAGTTTAGAACTTGTGCCATGGAACATTTTTGAATTTTTTTGAATTTCTGAATACAAAAAAAAATTTTTTTAAATAAATTTCTAAATTTTAATGCAGGTTTTTATAGAATTTCGATGTAGGCTTTAATTTCCGATTATAATTCTCCCATGCCTTCATTGCAGATGTGGCCCAGCCAAAGTCGGACTGGAAGCCGGAGGAACTGGCCACCGTGGGCGAACTGCTGCTCGACATTTCCATTCAATTGGCCCGAACGTAAGTAATCAGCGCTAAACGCATTTGAAAGTTGCCCTGGCACGCCCACGATCTCCATCTCCCTCGGCGCTAATAACGATTGCAAAATCACGCATGACAAGGCAGTTGAGTCGTGCACCACCGCACCACCGCACCACTGCACCAATAATTGCACCACTGAACCACAGAAACGACCCCCTGCAGTCGTCAAATATTCATGAGTCTTTTCTTGCCTCCAAGGTTCTATGCTCGCCACGAATCGGAACCAAAACTCGAATTCGTCAGCACAGAAACAAAATAGTACAATTTGTTGGTAAAGGATTTAGTGAGCCAAGAATATTCGAAGGCACATGGAAATATTTTAATTTAAAATGCCTTCGATAATTTTAAATATATTCATAAGTGCAATTTCCTGTCAAAAATTGTAATAGCTTACGCAAATATTTCCGCCAAATGGCCAAAAGTCTTCGATATCAAATAATTTTCAGACTTCATCCGACGAGATACTTGGTCCATTTTTCTGTGTGTGCGACAGTTCTTTTTGAAAGTTCGGCACATGCAAATGCTAATTGTCTGGCTTTTTGACTGATGGCCAGTGGCTGACAGCCGAAGAAGTGCATTTGAGTGCCCGTCGAAGCTTCTTCCCAACTGGCGCAACCGCATTTTTGCCAAACAAAAAGTATCTGCAGCTATTTGCGCAGCTCGCATCGCAGATGTAAACAAACGGCGATTATGCAATGGACCGCTTTGCAAACAGCCAGTAAGCAGCGAGTAGTGAGCCAGTAAGCCAGTGAGAGTGCGCGTGACTGTCTTGCCCCTCGAAAAGAAGCTGCGGAAGATGCCGCACTGCATTTCCAGTTTGGTTTTTCCTTTTTCTGCCTCGCGATCGGTTGGCCAACGATTGGCCCCTGCAGCGCACTCGACTGCACAGAAGGAAATGTATGCAAGCAAATTCCGTTGATAAATAATATTTGTCTAAACTTACTGCTAAATATATTAGTAATCCTCACAAGAAATTATACATAGATATACTTCGAGTTGAGATCATTCCGTCAGTTAATAAGAACACATGGAATGGCTACAAGTTGATTGATTGTAAACCACCTTTCAATAGGATTTCAAAAAAATAACTTCATACACAATATTCCCAACAGTATCGTAAGACATCGTAAATGCTGATATATTTGCGATTACCATTTTATGGGCCATTTGGTTTCCTACTTTTAGTGTGCTCTTTGGGGAGTGGAATCTGGGTAAGCGGGTTGTCGAGTCAGTTGGCCACGAATTGGGAGTCTCGCCTGTGTGAGTCTGTGTGTCCTAAACTCAGCATCATCACCTCCCCATGTGCGACTTTCACTAAGCCCGACGTCTAAGCGGATTTTCGGACCAGGGGGCAGCTTCTTCATCTGTTGCACCTGCAACATCTGAATTGCCGTTGTATAATCTCTTGATTATGGCTAATAGCATGTTGCAGACGGCCAATCAGGCAGTCGCCTGGCTTTATGGCATTCTATGAAGACAATGAGACGACTTTAATCAGCGAATGGCTCATGTAAATCAATGATGGACGACTGAAAGATATCTCATTTCGAGATCTCCCTTCTGCACTTCTCCGGTACTTTCACGTGCTGCAACCCTGCAACCTCGGCGAGTAAATTGCCGACCCAATTGACTGTGAAGCTTCACAGTTTTCCACTTCCCATCTTCACACAATGGCCAGCCGGACGCAGTTTCCCTTTGGCTTTTCTCGCTTTCTCATGCATCGAGGAAGAGCTAATGCCGGTCCCTTTGGCGATTTATGTGCCGGCACACTCGACTTCCTCTGCCAGCAAATACCTGTTTGCCAGCACCGAAGTCTCAGACCGAAATATAAAATTGTATTGGAAACCAATTGAATGTTTATGTGACTGTCAGCGCCAGACATCAACATCAATAACTGGCGACGAACTAAAGCGCGTTAATTGCGGTACTAACTAGGCTAATACGATAATTTTGCAATTTTCCAATAAAAATCTTAGAGCACACTGGCAAAAAAGAAGGAGTTTAGATAAATGCGGATTAATATCTGGTCTTGGTACCTCGATTATGGTTTTTATTACAAACGCAATTACATAATAATATTCATAATTTTAAGTAGCTTAATTTTGACTAAATCTAAACTGGCTTGCTCTGTGATTATGTTTCAACCTTTATTGCCTCGTTTTTTACTACTGTTAGTTTAACTGAGGTGTTATTTTCTATGTGTAAAATTGGTTGCTCGATTGCCCGAAAAGTTGGCGGCAGGAAAGAGCCAAGTTTAGCGATAATCGCAGTTGCGTTTAGATGAAGTGTCGGCTAAATTCCATTCGTCGTTATGTTTCAGATATGGCTTATCGTATGAAGAAATCGAAAAAGGATTGCCAACGATTGATACCTCGAAGACTCTGATCCGCGAGGTGTGTCCACCCTTCTTCGCCGGAGTTGAGTGTCGCCCTGGAAAATACCGGCGTTTCGATGGCCTGTGCAACAACATCGAGCACCCGACTTGGGGGGCAGCTAATGCTCCGTTCCAGCGCCTGATCGGTCCCCTCTATTCGGACGGAATCAACGCTCCCAGAATTTCGGTCACTGGTCGGGATTTGCCCTTCTCTCGAGTGGTTTCACGCACCATGCATCCCGACGACGGTTTCCACGATCACGCGGGCACCGTAATGGTCATCGCCTGGGGTCAGTTCATGGATCACGACTTCACGCTCACGGGAACGCCGTTGGGTAAGTTGAATAATCATGCCATTGGCAGGGGAAATTTCATTATAAAATGTTTCAAAAGTGTTGGTGCATTTAAAAGTAAAAGCAGAGCTTCTTAGAAATCCTAATAAAATCATTTAATTTGTTTCCAATTCAGATCCCATTAACCGGAACGATCCCGAGGAGTGCTGCAAGCGACCATTGCATCTGAAGCATCCGTACTGCAATGAGATTCGCATTCCCGACGACGATTACTTCTATCGCCTGTTTAATGTCAAGTGCATCGATTTCGTGCGCGGCTTCCCCTCTCCTCGTCCAGGCTGCAAATTAGGTGAGTAATGCATATTTATGATAAAATAATAGTAGTATTTATTTAATGGTACTCAAATGCTTTTGTCTCTATTTCTTAGGATCCCGTCAGCAGTTCAACACCTTGACTGGTGTCATCGATGCTAATACCGTTTACGGCGTAAAGGAATCATTTGCCCGCAAACTGAGAACTGGCTACGGAGGCCTCATGCGCATGAATCCCGTGTTCCAGGAGTACGGCCTGAAGGATCTGCTGCCCCTGAAGCTGGATATCCCCGACGAGGGATGCACGCGTCCCAACAAGAGCATGTACTGTTTCGAGGGCGGCGAGATTCGAGTTAATGAGCAGCTGGTGCTCACCTGCATGCACACCTTGATGGCGCGGGAACACAATCGATTGGCCACTGGGCTGGCGCAGATCAATAAGCACTGGGATGATGAGACCCTGTTCCAGGAGGCCAGACGCATCAATATCGCCATAGTTCAGCACGTCACCTTCAACGAGTTTCTGCCCATTTTGCTGGGCAAGGAAGTGATGGAGAAGTTCGGCTTGGTTCTCCAGAAAGATGGCTACTGGGATGGCTACGATTCCACAGTGAATCCCGGCATCATTGACTCCTTTGCGGGAGCTGCCTTCCGATTTGGCCACTCCCTGCTGCCAACTGCGGTGGAACGCTGGTCCAAGGCCCACAAGTTCATTGCCTCAAAACGTCTGTCGGATTTGATCAGGAGACCCTACGATCTCTACCGTGCTGGAGTGCTGGATGAGTACTTCATGGGTCTGATGAACCAAGTGGCGCAGGCCATGGACGACTCGATAACCCAGGAGGTCACCAATCATCTGTTCAAGAAGGAGGGTGCCCGGTTTGGCATGGATCTGGTGTCCTTTAATATGCAGCGCGGTCGGGAGTTTGGTATTCCCGGTTACATGGAGTTCCGCAAATTCTGCGGTCTGCCCACCTCAAACACTTGGGATGAGATGTACGGATCCATGCCCAACGAGACTGTTATGCGCTACGGCAGCATTTTCGAGTAGGTTTTAGAAGGGAATCCTTTCCTTTTGACTTTTATATTAATCTAATATCGTTTAGGCACCCTGCTGATATCGATCTTTGGTCTGGAGGCGTTTCTGAAAAATCACTTCCTGGTTCCATGCTGGGACCGACTTTTGCCTGTGTTATCGCCAC